ACAGATACAGATACAGATACAGATACAGATACAGATACAGATACAGATACAGAATATCTGAATGCTTACTGTTAATTTCCAATCGTTGCTTCTATAACTAATTAATTGGCTCAGACCGTTACATAAAAGCCACAACTTGAATCTGGTTAAAATCATAAATCACAGAAAAACAGAAAACTCAATAGATTCTTCGAGATGTGCGTGGAAGCGCTAAAGCAAAGTTATCTGGAATTATAATAATAAGCGTCAATGGGAAGCCGTTAGCAGGAATTCTTTACTGTTGGCCAATGGTGTTGATTGGCATTAAGTAAACTTAAGGCCATAACAGAACCTGCCCTAACTGACACAGATTTATATTCCATTGTATACTGCTAGCCCACTTGAAGGGTATTATGAGTATTGTGATGGAGCTGAATGGCTTTTATCATCTATGGAATACATAATGCCTATTATTAAAAATTCATATAAACTATATACGGTTCTTAATGGATTATTAGAAATTTGCGAATTCTAGTAGTATTATTGCTGTATTCCAGGTCATTTATGGATCATCAATGCTACATTATATAACTAGATACATGCATGCATATTTATTTTCCAAGTTCTTGGGTTTCTAGACAGAAGATGCTGTAAGAATAAGCGTGGATAACAAATTATAGAACTTTCTTGATTATTATCTATATAAATTCATAAAATATTTCTATTCAAGATAAGCTACATCTATAAGGAGGGTATTTAATAGTCGTTGACTGTTTCACACACCCAACTAACCTTGGTTGAAATTCTAAATACTTTTATGGCCTCAAGGTGCCATGGCCTGTCTGTCTGTCTGTCTGTCTGTCGATCTGTCGGCCTGCCAGCACCTGTTGCCAAATGTTGTCGCATGGCAAAACTTGTTGTGAGCCGAGGTGGCGACACTGGACGCTGGAGAGTGGCCAAAAGGAGACCACAGCGTGGACACTGGAACGATAAAGTTGCGTTGCCCATGCCAGAGAGAGAAATAGTTGGCGCTATATTTACATAGTTGTAGGAATATATGGGTCGACGGGTCTTGGGAACGAAACGTAAACGTAAACGAGAAAGTGCGTATGTTTAGCACAGAAAGAGTTGGAGCAGTGTGTGCGTGCGTGTGTGTGTGTGTGTGCCCATGTGTGTGTGGCACTGGACAATAAAAATGCATATTTAAAAAGCGGTATACGCCGTTAGCAGCAGCAACCTGAATGCCTCGTGGAAGCAGAGCTCGGTGCGAGCTGCCTCGGGCAGAGGATCATGCTAGAAGCTTGTAGACCACACAGACACACACAGACACACACACACAGTCACATGCGGAATACAGCGCAGCTAAGCAATAAATCAGACTAAAGAATATATACATATGCCATAATACGAAATATATTCGCTTGATGGGAGTCTCCGACTTGGAAATACCCACAGGAATAGATAACTTCATATAGCATTTGCTATACTCACTGTATTGCACGGATGTTCTCAGCAGATGATTCTGACTGTGGGATACCGGAACAAAAGGGAACTCATATCACAATTGAGTAAACTTTAATTTAAAGAATAATATTCCGAAAATTGGATAAGTTTTAAGTACGAACATGATCGAGCTGCATGCCCTAGTTGCCAGTGCTTCATTCTTAAGTTACTTTTAATTTCACATTAATTATAATATACAGTAAATGAGCGATGATAAAATGATAATAATAAAACTAGATACGAAATTTGGGCACTCTAGCTCTGCAGATCCAAAGAATATCATTTAATAATTGTCGTTCGAAATGGTTGAAATTATTGACTGTTTGAAACACGCTTGATCTGCTATTGTAGCGATATACATCATTAAGCACCCAAAGGCGCTCAGATCGATGCGCATATACATACATATATGTATGTATAACCAAACGAACCAGAGTCTGATCACCAGACGATATATAGAAGATCCCACGCCTACTCCTTTCTTTTGCCTAAATAAAATAAAAGTATTATTCAAGTATACAAAAGATATGTTAATAATAATAATTGTAATCGTAATCATGAGAATCACAGAGAAAGGCAATAGCTAAATTCAATTTATGTTCAATTTGCTTGGCAGCAGAAACTCTACTTGATCTTCGAGTTGGCTTTAATACTATATATATGTATGGATATGGGTGGATATTCTAATATATTTATACAATATTTAATTAATAATATTCATATCATAATGACATTATTATCCGCATTTAAAATTGGGTTTTTTATTCTCCACAAAAATCTATTAATCCGCATTATAAGAACTTTGCAAAACTAAGTAAGAAGAAATCGAATTCTCTGGATTATATAAGCCATTGAAATAGAGCTGCATAAAATCTGGCATTTATACAAATTTTCCTGTCTATTCGATCTGGAGATTGAAAAATTAAATAGAATTGTAAAGATATTTGAGTGGCTGAATAAAGCCTTGATTGCGCAGAGAAAGAATCATAGCAAGATTTGCTATAGTTTCTATAAATATTCAGATAGATTTCCTATAGATAAGTACTTCGATTGCTTCACCTAGGATATTACTTTATGTACTTTAGATACATAGCTTATATTATCAGGTCTATGAAACTTTGGCAAATCTGCTGCTGCAGCTCGATCTATTCAAAAATGATCTTGAGGCTTTCGATTCGAGAGATAAATATTCCATGAGCTTAGATTACCTTTCGACTATTCTATTCTATTTATTATATTTGTAAAGTGTCTTCCGGGTATAACGACAGTCACTTAAGTGCCGTTATAGCCGGACTTCACAGTATTCATTCATCTATTCAACTATATCTTATATATACTATATCTTCTATATAAATGAGATATACTTTAAAGATTTCCGCATGCTTTTCCTTGCATGATTGCAGCAGCTGCCCGCTTCGGGATGTCTGGGGCGACGCACATGGCGCTGCCGGCGCATGCCGTCGGCGCTGGTTCGACTGGGTCCGCCCTGAACCTGCCCAGCCTGGGCAAGCGCGGACACAAGCGTTCCGTGTCGCTGGAGACGAATGCGCCGCTGCCGCTGCGCAGCACGCCGAGCCTGAGCAGCATGGGCCAGACGACGCTGGGCTCGCCGCTGCCGCCGCACGGGGCGCTGCACACGGGCACCCTGAAGTCGCGGCAGGAGCAGCGCCGCCTCAGCCAGAAGTTCAGCAGCCACAGCAACCTGGACGACGAGACGCTGAGCGGGCCGCAGATGCGCAGCAAGTTCCAGAACATCCGGCAAATGTTCGAGCTGAGCCGCAGTGGCGTGGCCAGCGCCGGGGAGCTGGGCGACGGCAAGGCCGCGGAGGATGCGCTGCAGTCGCTGCCGGCGATGCTGGGCCAACAGACGCCAACAACGCTGCGCCGCACCACGCCCATCACAGCCGGAAGTCGTCTGGCCATTACCGAGCAGCAGTCGCTGCCGCAGTCGCAGTCGCAGTCGCAGTCTCAGCTGGCGGGCGAGGCCAAAGAACAGGTGAGGCATTTGACATTGTTGTGGCACTGGGTGCGCCCTGGGGCTGGGCCGCAGCTTTTACTGATCGATGATTGCCTTTCGCTCCAGCCAAACGGTGCCGGCAACTTTCTGCGTCCGATTGCCTTCAAGCCGATACCATTCGAGCCGGACTATCGCATTGCCGCCCAACAGCAGCAACATGAGCAGCAGCAGCAGCAGCAGCAACAGCAACAGCAACAGCAGCAGCAGCAGCAGCAGCAGCAGCAGCAGCAGCAGCAACAACAACAATTGCAGGGATCCGCCCAGCAGCAGTCGGTGGCGGGCGAGCGGTACGGCTATGGCTCGACACCCTCCTTGGCACCGCTGCCCTCAACGGCAGCCACCCAGCACAAGTTCGGAAGTAAGTGAACCACCTCTAGCGCATGTCCACAGTTTCTCTAACTGCTGCAACTCTCGCCAGGCACAACGGATCTGCGTCATTTGGCGGCGCGTCGACGCGGCCATCGAGTGGTGCAGCGCAGCAGCAACGAGGATGGACTCGGCCTTGGCCTGGGCCTGGGCCTGGGTCTGAGCCTGGGCCTCGAGTGTCTGTCCGGGCTCGATAGGCCAGATGGCGGCAGCAGGTGCGTAATCCCTGAAGCAGGCCACGCCCCCACAGCCGATTAACCTCTTCATTTTACAGCAAGGGCAACGCCCTGACTGGCGGCAGTGACCTGACGCCCTCGCCGTCGGACTCGGGCATCTCGGAGCTGGAGGCGGCGCTCAAGGACCGCGACTCGGAGCTGTCGTATCTGCGACACGCAATGGAACAGAATGAGAAAGTAATTTTCAAAGTCCAAAAGGTTAAATAGCAAACTGGCCAACCCAACAGCCTGACTAATCCTTGGCGCATCTCGCATCTCGCGTCTCGCGTCTCGTCTCGTTTCTATTCTAGGACAAGGAGGTCTACTGGGAGCACGAGACACAGCGCCTGAAGCTCTTCTACGAGAGCCAGCAGCGCGAGTATCATCTGAAGTTCAAGAAAATGGAGCAGCTCCTCGCCCTGCAGCAGTTCCAGCTGAAGCAGCACAGCCTGCGGCAATCGGAGCAGCTCCAGAAACTGCAGCAGCAACTGGACCTGACGCGCACCAGCAACAAGTGCCTCAAGAACGCCGAGCAGCAGCTGCAGTGCTCCGCCCAGGAGCTCAACCAGCAGCTGAACGAGGCCCACCAGACGATATCGGCGCTGCGCGTCCAGCTGGAGGACAGCGAGTGGAAGGTGTGCGAGCGCAACGGCGAAATAGCTTTACTCAAGACGCAGCTGAAGGAGGCGCATGTAAGTCGAGAGCGAGCGATGCAGAGCGGGGAATGGTAACTCCCACTCTTGTTGGAGTGCCAAGCAGAAGCTGGAGAGGATTGGGCTCTGGGAAAGGTTAACCTTCCTGGAAGGGGTGCAGAAAGGGACGATGCAATTTTACTGCGTATGGTATTCATATATGAAGATGTTGTTTACGAGAGTGCTGCGAATGGACGGACGGACGGATAGCTTAATACAGACAGACGGACGGATGAATGATAGGACGGACAAACAGGCGGACGAAAGAGCGGACGGATGGACTGACAAGCGGACGATAGTCGGATGGAACTATCGACGGACATATGAATGGAATGAATGGACGGGCGGATAGGTGGTAGGATGGATTAATAGTCTGACGAATAAACAGACGGACGGACGGAATGGATGGATGGACTGACAAGCGGACGAACCGATAGTCGGATGGAATAGATAAAATGGAACTTTCGCTGGACAGACGGACATATGAATGAATGGACGGGCGGATAGAGGGTAGCAAGGACTAATACTCAGACAAACAAACAGACGGATGGACGGATGGATGGTTGGATAAACAGATGGACGGACGGACAGACAGATGGAAGGATGTACGGACGGATGAGTGGATAGACAAACGGACAGACAGCTGGAAGGATGGAACTATCAAGAGAGAGATAAACGAATAAACTATAGATTGGTCGAGCAGGTGGATGATACGACGGACAGATGGTCAGTCGGGCGATACGACGAACGGACGGATGGACTGATGGGCGGACGTGAGACGGTTGGAGCAATGTCAGAACATACCAATGGAGAGACAGACAAATGAACATACATATGGTAGGACTTACGAATGGGCAGACGGTCAGATGGACGAACGGATAGACAAGCCGGCGAATGGATATACGTGGATAGGCGGAAGAAAGGACCTGCCTGCCCTAGGACTGGACGGACATGACAACATTCGTTCCGCAGTCCCGTTCTAGTCCTGATCAAGGAAATATGTATATGTCCATATATGTATATGCTTATATATTTTTGCTACACCTCATAAAGCTAGTATCGACTTGACTTTGGATTCGTGCTTGAACCTAAAGACGGGGAGCTAGTACGGCCCATAGGCAGAGCTACCAAATTAAAAATGGCTTTGAGCTGAGGCCTAAATAACTGTCGGAGCTCAATTAAGAAGTAACCAAATTATGACACTTTCAAAAAAACGCTCAAAACTCAATCAAGTTTGGGTTAGGTCAGTCAGCAGGTGGGGGGAGGGGGGGGGGGGCGCAATGGAAGTCAGAGAGAACCACCAGAGTCTAGGTCAACGAAACGATTAGCTTGGAGAACAGGTTTTGCCAGCTCAATGGAGTTGTAGTTAATAACTAATATTAAATTATGCTAATGCCTGAGTCAATGAGCCGTAATAAATGCCTCTTGAAAGGCGGAAAGAGTCGAAGTGAAGCGGATATTCAATAGGTTTTATTAATCATCGTTTACTATGCTTCCCAGCTTGAAATCAATATGAAGGATCATACAATTCTCAGCCTGAGACACAACAACAACAACAACAACAATAATAATAATAATAATAACAACAACAACAACAACTGTCAGACAACCACATGCCAAAGTCAACCAAAGCAACAGGCGAAGGAAGCGCAACAGCAAAAGGATCCGGAGCAGGAGCAGGAGCAGCTGCAGCAGCTGCAGCAGCTGAACAAGATCATCGCCCTGAAGGATCAGGTGATTGGTGCGCTCACCAACGAGCTGGCCAAGCTGCGCAAGGAACTCTCCGACCTGGCCATTGCGCACGAGTACGGCGAGGAGCCGTGCGGCCGCTACACGCGCCTCAAGCAGCAGCTGGACAACCTGAACGAGATCTGCCAGAAGACGCACAAGTATACGAGGCAGGCGGCGGCCGGGCCCATGCAGCTGGACGCCATCATGGAGCGACTGCAGCTGGATCAGGGCCAGCCGGCGCAGCTGGCGCTCGACACACTGATCGAGGAGTCGACCACCTATGCCGAGGACATTGCCAAGCTGCGGCAGAAGCTCGACGATTTTCGCATCAATCTCGAGCTGGAGAAGCGTCAATGGTGCGCTGAGAAGGACAAGGTGCTCGGCTACCAGAAGCAGCTGCAGGCCCACTACATTCACATGTACCAGAAGCTGCGCTGCCTGGACAATGCGGCCACAAATGCAGCAGCACCATCAGCAGCAGCAGCAGCAGCAGCAACGCCCCCTCCGCCTCCTGGCGAGGTGAGCAACCAGGTCTAATGGCCACTGCTGTCGCTGTCGTCGCTCGGTGCTGAGCCCAAACACTGCTGATGAAACAAGTTCATTTGTTTTGTCACTCCCAGTGGCAATTAGTTACGACAATACCTAAACAGATGCTTCCGAACGATTCGCACTCCAGACGTGACTCGTCCACAGAGCTGGCTCCGTCTCCTGCTTGAGTCAGCAAAATCGTTTAACTACAACTTCTGCTATCTATAATTATGTATATCTATATATATACACACAGCTTGCCTGTCAACATTTATGCTAGCTCTAGACAGATTCTCCATATATAATATACCACATCAAGAATTTCATAATATTGCAATTGTTTTGAAACAATCTAACTAGTATCAATGTAGTACAGCTCCCTAAAATGCTAAGGCGGCGATATTTTAAATATTTAATTACAATTATTTTTGGTAGATTTTTAAGAAATATACAATACTATGATATAAATAAATAGAGATATCTATGCGTGAACGTCTTTTGTATTTGGATATATACATAGTGAGAGATGAAGTTTATGAGGAAATATTCCAGATATTTTGTTTTTGGGCTTATTGAAAATTTGATAACGGCTTACCTTAACTGAAAGGTGTAGTTCTCTGAAGATATATTTCATATATTCTATAAACATTTTCTTAAATTTCAGGAATTTACTGATAATAGCTTATTTATGTGCAGTAGAATGCTTCGAATATCCTAAGACACAAATGACAGCTATATGTATATAGGAAGCATAAGTCGGGACCGTACCACAGGAGACCTTTGCGCCGTTCCTCTTCTGCATTTTTATCGATAATACGGGATATGGCTGATCGTTAAGCTCTCAACTTCTCAATCGTTTCAAATAGTCTGCAAAATATTGTGATTATCGCTTAAAAGTTCCCGATCTACTGCATTAGTATTATCAGGAACCCATCTATATAGACCTCCAAGGAAAACATTGCATGGCTATAGTTATATTTTTTGCATGTTTATATTTAATATATATATTAATTTGTATATTTTATATGTAAGTAGTTTCTCTTTGTATATCAACAAAAAAAAAAAAATATATTTAATTATAACGACGACTACACGGAGTCACAAATAGGTGTGCAAGAGAAATGGCTAAAGTGGGAACTACGAATAATTATAATAATAATAATAATAATAATAATAATAGTATAATTCCAATACAAAATGTGTTTCTTTTGTTAAAATTTAGATATTTTAATGCAGAGACCTTTAAAGCTCGTTGTAAGATATATAATATATATGTGATATATAATATATATATGATATATGATGTATGTATATTAAAAAGGAAGGTAAACGATATCAAATACAATTCGACTTTCCTCCATTATCACGCTCCCATATTCTCTCTTACAGGCACACACACACGCACACGCACACGCACACACGCACGCTCGCACTCATACAGACTCAAGTCTCCAGTCAGACAAACTCTTACACAACTATGTGACTTATATAGATCGGTAGCTAGGTACAGTCCTCCACATAGGTGGCCGGAAAGATGCCAATTTGATTGCGCAACGCGCCCAGCCACCAGCCGTCGTCCTGTTTGGCATGGATCTCGATGATGTCGCCGGGCGTCAGCTCCAGCTCGTCGTACAGTTTCGGCGAGTAGCTGTAGAGGGCCTTGCAGCGACCGAGCACCTGGCACTGGCCGCCATCCTTGGAGCTGACGCTGGTTAAATTGCTATTGGCGCCCTGGGAGCTCATCGACGAGCTTTGCACCTCCTGTGTGTTTTGATAGAAATTCTGGATCGATTGCGGCTCGGCCTCGCCCTCGCCGTCGCCGTCGCCCTCGTCCTCGTCCTGCGAACTAAACTCATCAAAGTCCGAGTCCTGCTGATTGGAGCCGCCGTCTGCCTGCCCGCGATCGTCAGTGCGTCCGTTCGTCTGGCCACTGCTCAGCGTCTTGGACCTGCCGCCGCCAACCGCCGCTGCATTTAGAGTTGTCGCCGCCAGCGATGCATTGGTTGTCGAGATTATCTTTGGTTGGCTGGTAAAGTTCTCAATGTTGCTCTTGCTACGATTGAAGTGCTTCAGCAGCGCCGAGGTGGGCGCGGCCACCACGCTAATGTTCGCACAGGAGCTGTTTGTCTGCGCCTGCAACTGCGCATAGTCATCCTGGTCGCCGGCAACGCCGCCATCGCCAGTGTCCTGCGACAACAATGCATTCGTCTGCTGCGTCTTCTCGTTGTTCTTCATCCAGTTGGGCACCTTCAGGATGCTCTGCTGCAGGCCAGTGCGATCGCGAGTTATCTAAATAGTGAATATACATATTTTAATATTTGTACAAATATATATATCTTCTATATAGATCTCTTTTTCTTGGCTCACCTGTATGTGCTGGGCCAGCGGATGCGTTGTGCGCGGCTTGTGATCCAGCTCCAGCAGCGCTGTATGCAGCTTCAAGCGTGCTCCTTCCAAATAGGTCAGCATCGAGCGTATCTAAAGGGAAATCGGAATGAGTCACAACATGGCCTGAGCTGCAGTCGATGGAGCTTACGTGGTAGAGCTTGTCGGTAATATTCTGATGCTCCTGATTGTTGAGCGACTGGGACAGGCCACGCAGTCCGTCGCGGGAGCGGCGTTCGCGCTCCAAGTCCGTTTTGACCAGCTGCAGCAGTTTGATCAGCGAGTGCTTGCGCCGCTCCCGGTTCATGGCCAGCGTTGTGTGCTCACAGTAAAAGTCCGGGAGTAGCTGCTCGCTGGGCCCCTCCGAGTTGCGGCGTATGTTGCGCACCACTTGCATATCCTTGGCCACGTTGCAGGCGTCCAGCTGCTGCTGCAGATTGTTCGTCAGGCTGCCCAGAATGGGATTCATGTCGTTGATGAGGCGAGCGTATTGCTGCACAAAGTTGTGCATGTTGCCCACGCGATGCTGTTCGCTGCTCTGCAGCTGCGAGGAGCCGCGCAGCACGGCCATCTCCCAGTCGACCCGGGCACGCTCGGCGCGCACACAGAGCGTGTAGTACTCGACGTCCGCCCGCTTGACCGCCTCCTCGGCCTTCTTGCGCTTGTTGTCCAGCTTGGCGCAGTCCTTCTCGGCCGACTTCAGCTCCTTCTCGGCGGCCAGCTTGTTGGGGCCCTGATGCAGCAGCGCTATCGACGGTGACTTCTGTATGCGCACGTCCAGCATCGCATCCTGCAGCTTCTCGTTCTCCCGGGCGGCCGTGTGCGAGGCCTTCTTGGCCTTCGCCTCGCTCGCACGCCACTCGCTCAGCACACGGGCCGCCTTGTCCACATTGCTCTCGACCTGCTCAAACGAGCTCCGATTAGATTCGTGGATCGTTAAGGGCTTAGCTAGCAGCACTTACCGCTTTGCGTGTCTTGTGGTGATTGTCCACGACTGTCTTCAGCGGCTTCACCAGCTCATCGGTCAGCGAGACTGCCAGCTGGCGATGGATGTCGCTGCGACTTTCCATTTCTGTAGCGACACCACGCCAGGCATCCGCCACGCTGCCAGGAATCTCTCGACCAGCTTTGTTCAGCTTGTTGGCCAACTTCGAGAGCGACTTGGAATAGATCAGCTCCGAGTCGGCACTGCATACACATGCATGGAGTAGAAGAAGAGAAACGTAACAATTATTATTATCTGGAAGAGCTGTTGCGTTAAGAGTGTTCCAGTAAAGAGATCCTAACTGAGCTGCACCATGGGAACTCAACTATTGAATCAATTTATTCAATATAGACTTTCTAAATCAAACTTTCTGATAATATTTAAATTTGTGTATTTGAACGCAAGTCTGTAGCATTTGAAATATGATTTTTTCCAATTTTGGGGCGTAGGGGCGTGGTATAAAAATTCTACAAAATTGCTAAATCTTAGCATTCATTACACGGATCTACACAGTGAATTTGAAATCTCTAGCTCTAACGGTATTCAAGTTGTTCTAAAAAAACCCAGTAAAATTATCGAACATTATCGATAAAAAGCCAATGGGATGACTTATGAAAAAAAATTAACCCGCTCGTACTACCTATAGCATTAACGAATATACATATAAAATTTCAAATCTCTAGCTTTTGTGGTTTAAGAGATTAGCTCGTTCACATAAACGGAGGTGTGCTTCCCTGAGTATAAAAACTAACTCTTCAATAGAGGTCTTTAATATTATCATTGAGTTGATTTCCTTCGGCATTACTCACCGCTCTTGCAGAACAAATATAAGCTCTTTGCTGAAGTCGCCGCCCTGTTTGACATAGCGTCGCAGTTCCTCGAAGCCGTTTTGCCCCTATGAGAGAGGAAGAAGCAGAGATAGAGAGGGAGAAAGAAACAGAGAAAGAGAGAGATCTATGAGTATGATTGTTTAGTATAAATATATATGTGGTATCAATTATTTATTTAGCCGCGAATGTGGACCAAACAATGCTTTAGCCGCTCTAGCTGTACCTCGTCTTTGAACCGTTTGGCATTCGGCGACAAGTCCTCCTCACTGGGATTATGCGACAGCGAAGGATCATAGTCGGTGCGCTCGGTGACATCCTCACAGCTCTCGGTCATGTCACGGCTGCGATCCGGCGACATCGACTGGCGACTGGCCGTGGACTGATTGAGATTGACCTTAGATTGGGCCACGCGCTTCAGTGGCGTTTGCTGACGCACCACCTCCTTGAGCTTGGTACTCTCCTCGCCCAGCCAGTGCTTCATGCCGTGCCAGCCCTTGCGCAGCTTCTCCTTGTTGTGATTGAAGCTGATCAGGCGCTGGTTCTTGTTCTTCAGCAGTGTGATGCGCCGCTCATTGGGACGCAGCTGATCCCGATGCGTGCAGTACTCCAGATCGATTTCCCGATTGAAGTCCTCCGTCTCGTTGATTTGCCTGGTTATCTCCTGCAGCTCGTCAATCGACACGAACAGATTTTGGGCATTCAGGCTCGTATAGCTAACGGACTTGAGATCGAAGTCAAATTCATCCGTGATGCTGATCTGGCTGTTGCTCAACAGGCTTCTGCTTCTGCTGCGGCTGCGACTCCGGCTGCTGCGGCAGCTGCCCAAGCTCTGTTTGGAGCCCTGCTGCGCCGTCGACCGCTGCAAGGAGTCAATGCTATTGAAGCCAGCCATATATCGGCTCGGCTCGGGCGTCTGAGTCCCTCGCTGCTCGCGCTGCGGTGTGCTGTGGTTCTCCTTGTTCTCGCTGGCCGCCAGGCTCAGCTCGCTGGCGCCATACAGCTCCGGCAGCTCGGGCAGATTGAGGCCCAGCTGCGGCGGCGCCGTCATGTTCAGGTCCAGCGTCATCGACGGCGACTTGTGTAAATAGACTTTCAGTTCGGAGCGATGCAGGTTCTGCACTGATTGCGATTGCTGTTGGCGGGCAATGCGCGGACATCGGAGGGGCGGCTCCACAGCAACTGCCGCTGCTCCTGCGGATGGTGGTGGTGCCGCTGCTGCCGCTACTGCTGGTGGTGCTGGTGTTGCTGGTGCTGGTGCTGATTGTGGTGGTGGCGGTGGTGGTGTGGGCGGCGGCGACAGCTTGTGCTCGGGCTGATGCGTCGGTGTCTCAAAATGATCAATGTCGATGCCATCGCCGGCTGAGTGATGATCCGCCTGCGGCGTGCCGCACGCATCCACAAACTCCTCCTCGTCGGAGCTGCGCGGCGTCAGGGTGCGCACGATGGAGGATGTCTTGGCTATGCCACCGCCGATCTGCTTGAGCCGCGCCTCGGTCACACCGAAGCGATCGGTGTCCAGGGTTGTGGTCGATATGAGAATGGGTGCCCCGATCTCCAGGCGATGATCCTCGGAGTTGCTGCCGGTCATATTGTAGCTGCCGGTGGCCAGTTTGCCCGGCGAGCCGGAACGATCTTTGCCAGAGCCGCCACCACCCGGCAAGGTCATGCTGCCCAAGTGGCGGCGGCCGAGCTTATTGCCGAGCACTGAGTACCGCTTGATGCGTGTGAGAAATCCCTTTGCACTGTTTCCATTATTATTGTTGTTGTTGTTGTGGTTGTTGTTATTATTGAGACTGTTGTTGTTGTCCACGGAGGCATTAGTGGAAGGAATTTCGGCCATAGCCGCATTGTCCTTGCCACCCAATTTAAACTTATGCACTCGCAAATGATTCATCGTTCTGCGCGAATTATTCAAATAAATATTTTAGATTAGACTTTCGATTCAAATTCGATCTAACGGCACTGCACGAGTCTCGCATACGCGCGTTTCACATTGCGTGCGCACCGCTAATTGTCGAAAAACTGAGAGTGGAGAACGCAACTGGAACAGGCGGCAAGTGCACAAGCACAAGCAAGCGACAGCAAGGCGAAGTGGAGAAACGTCGGAGCCGAAGGAAGCCAAAGCAAAAGAATAAACACAAATGATGAAGGTTCTTTTTTTCACATTGTTGTTGTTGCAGGCAACTTGGGCTGACTTCGAAAAGCAGCACGACTCCTCTACACCCTTTAAGCGATAAGAATACAGTGGCACTGACCAGTATATAGGTACATATATATTAATGAAGACATTAAGATAACTGTATAATAAGCTAGCTCACAAAGCATATATAATACATTTAGAATTGAGCTGCTAGATTTAATTAATCGCATTCAACTTATATGCTCGAAATACCCTATGCTCATAAAACATAAAACGCGAACAACGCTAGGCCGACGCTCACCTAAATATACATACATACATACATGTTCAAACACACACACACACACTAATAAAGAATTGGTAAAGGGGGAAAGAGCAAGCGAAACATAAGAATCAGCTGCAGTCAAAAAAGAACAATAAAAGAGACACATACGCACTTTCGCTCTCTTTCTAACAAGCAAGTGTTGCATTATTTGACCCCTGCCTATGCTGTAAGGCTTACATGCATATGTATGTATTCATGTACACACACACACAACTAAATACTCAGTTCGGACATGGCGACCCGCCGTGCCCGACCCCCCTCTATCAATGCTCTTTTGCTCCACTTTTAGTGCAGGTAGAGATTACAAAACTGTTTGTTTATTGATCCACGGCGATGAAGGCAGCGACAGCGGACAGTCAAAGAGTGCATTAAGAATTGGTGTGGAAGCATAAAGAAGAGGCAGAGGCGAAGGCAAAAAAAAAAAACATCGGCAGAGGCAGCGGAGCAGGCAGAGGAAGACCACAGCTAAACAGTGATGTGCGTTTGTTTTGTCAAGAATCGCCGCGTTGGCATCGAAATTGACAGCAACTGCGACGCCCTCAGCGACGCGTCCGTCTTCTGCGTTTCTCTATTTTGCTTCTTAAGCATCGACATAAAGAACTCATACACAGCTATGCCACACACGCATACATACATACATACATATGTATGCATGTATTGGAACATATTCTTTGTTATGCTACCGAATTATGGCTTTTATACCCTATTCATCAAATGAATCAAATGAATAAAACGTAAAAAAAATAATCCTGCATATGATATATTATTATCCTATACGCATGCATACATATACTCATAAATATATGTATGTATCTGTATGTATTTACATGAATTGGTATATGTATAGCTACAGGGTATATTTGGGCTGCACATTATTAGCAACCGAAAATTGCTTGTTCTTTGTGCCATTTTCGTTCGATTCATTGATTTTGCTTGCAGTTGTGTTGGTAATTATTGAAAATAATTTATTTATGAACTATTTACTTTCCAGTTAGGCGAGGACGCGAAACTCAGCTTATACGACTATCGTATGCTCTGCATACCAGCATATTTTTAATAGAATTTATTTCAGATGTACTATGTATGTATGTATGTATGTATGTACTATTTATGCATATTAATTTGATCGAAATGCAACTGTAAGTAAAACAAATTTTACTGTTACTTAAAAACATACGTATTTTTAATTTACATGCTATCTACATACATACATATGTATGAATATTTATGTACATACATATGTACATATCTATGTAAGCTACGTGCTAAGACCAAGCACGCCATCAAGCAGTCTGCTAGTTCTATCATTCGCTAAACGATACACTGAGAAGAATTTCAAATTTGTTAATTGAGTTCAGTTACATCAAATATGTATTTATGTTTGTATGTATATATATATATACCTATGCATATATGTATATGTACATACATATGTATGTATGTTGAAAAGCTGTTAGGGCTGATATTTGATGGCATTTTTAACTATTTAATATAATTTCGCCCAGTGTATAGCTGTACGTGCGCTTAAACACACGTATAGATAGGCATGCATGCATATTTGTTTGCATATATGACTGTATTTACAGATAAATACATACATACGTATGTATGTATTTATGTTTATACATATGCATGTATGTATGCATGTGGCTGCATCAAGCTTACAATGGAAAGTGGGTGGAAAGCGTGGAGGAAGAGCGAGACGAGGCAGAGCAGCCAATTAAATGCGAACTTTAAAAGCAACTGTAGCTAATGGAGCTTTGCACTATTTTCTATTATGAAATTTCAATACACGCACACATACATATGCATATACGTATATGTATGTACAATGTATGTATGTGATCGGTGTGTATTTGTGCCATTCACTGTAAGTGAATATCGACTTAAGGTGCCTAGATACGGGCTTGGGCTCGAGTTCGGACTCGGGTTCGGGTTCGGGTACGGGTTCGGGTTTATCTGGTTATTAATTGCGCTCTGCTTGCAACAGTTAACGCTTTTGCGATTTCTATTCTATGATGCCAACAAGCGAAACCGTAGTAAGTTAAACAATTTAATTACATTTTGCTATTGTTGATATTACTGTTGTTGCTCTTGGTGTTGTTGTTGGTGTTGTTGTTGTTGCTGCTGCTGTTGTTGACTTGCATTGTTGTTATAGTTGCTGTTAAAGCTAATTGCATTTGTAATTTGCAAAGAGAACACGTGAACGCATGTTGGAAAATTTAGCTCAACTAGTGAATGCCCTGATATTTGAAGCTTATCTAAGAAAGTCAGAGAAGTTTCATTTTTCATGGAAATTCCAATACATGGAACAGTCTTCCAGGTTTCGAAAGTGCAAATCGCTTATAACGGATTGGAAATTTTTGAAGTATATATGTATGTGTGTATGATTAAAGTTATAAGAAGTTTTCGACAGAATTGTATATAGAGTATAAACATATAACGTATATGCTTGAAATATAGCGGTGAAAATTACATGATATAGCATAATAAATTTGAGTCTAGACAAATTAACAAAGATTGATCTACATACGTACATATGAAATGGCCAATATATACCATATTTGAGTGCTACATATGTATATGTATGTATGTATGTATGTACATAATTAGAGCTGTAATATCTTAATTTAAATAGGAGTACTCTATACATATAAATTCTTTGTAATACATACATATAAACAAAAATATACATACATACATATGTATGTACATATAGAGAGTGGAGTAGAATATACATAGAAATGTTGAATATTCTTTCATTTCTAATGAAAGTGGAAGGAAGTCAATTTATACTAGGGAAAGACAAGTTTATGAAGGACAGAAAGACTATATATTGTACCTATAGAGTTCTAGGCACATACATATTTACATATGTATGTAGGTATATGTGTGTATAACTTTTATATACATATATTATATACATGAACACATATAAGAACATCTTGTTTCTAACATACATCCCTTATCTATGTATATATAATTGCATATCTTCCACATGTTTAGCCTGTGCTAATAGTAAGCGGATATTGAGCAGTCGTTCATGCTCACTTGTTTATGTACAGATAGATAAGTTGATAAACAGAGCAAAGTCTTGTAGTTCTCGTCTGGTATTAGTCCAAGTCTGGGATGTCGCCTTTCGCCAGCTTCAGCCAGCTGCTGATGGAAGAAGGGTTAATGGAGAGAAATGCTGTGAGCGCAAAGCACTGATGTGGCACGTATCTGGCTAATGGAGTGCAACTTGAACTGGAGTGTGACAAGTGAGCAAACAATTGAGCTAATGAACAGGGCCCATATCTGAGCTAAAGTCGGCCTTAGCCGCAGCTGGAGTCACAGTCAAAGGTTTTGCTCTCGCCCTCTGAGTTGGCCAACAAGACGAAGGGCCACTTGAGGCAGCCGCATGAACCTGCTGAAGTTGCAGCAGCGACTTTACAGTGGCAGAGGCTAATTGCACGGGGCGCATCGAGTGGCCGCTGCAAGCGAAACCCCGCAATCATGCGAGCCCAAGCTCGGGTACGGGCTTTAAAGACAAATAACATAAATTATTGCCAGACGGATGAAAAGAAGCAGAAAACTAAAATGAAATGGGAAGAGAATCATCTGAAAACAATCAGTGGAGTCGCGGCTAGCCGCAGGCACTGCACTTCGCTCGGCTATAAATAAGCGCGATTGCAATTGCAACCAGAGGAGCAACTACAACTGCAACTGCAGCAACAACAACACTTGCCAATTGAAAATCCTTGCGGCATCCCCTTTTAGCCCAATTGCCCCCACCCACTGTGTGGGCAATTTATGCTTAATAAATAGCCACAATTTGTGGGCGTGGCCAGTGCCAAGGTCACCGCCTGAAGCGAACGTCCCTCACTTGCAGCCATGTTAAGCAACAACAACAACAGCCTGGCTACACTCGACTGCGCACTCTGTTAGTTAACAGCGCTCTTTTACGCGCTGCTTTGTGGTTTCTGGTTTCAATTCGCTTAGCCGTTTAGCTTAGCTTAGCTTAGTTTAGTTTAGTTTAGCTTGAATAAATGAGTTTGGATTTACCATTTTGTGCATCTGCTAACGTTCTTCAAATTTGGAAAACTTTACTGGAATTTGTTTAATGGATAATTTCAATTTAGCTTTTTACCAAATCTCGTACATTAAATATGAACTAAATTTACAGTAAACTGAAAGCGAAAAGGCCAAGAATTCGACTAGATGTTGCATTCCAAAACTGATTGACAGCTGAAAAATGGACTACTGTGACATAGCTACATATACATACAGACATACATACATACATGTGTGTATGTTTGAATATATCGAGATAAAACTAAGTGAACCCATGGCACACTAATGTTTTCTTTGTTAGACGCACAGTTTCCAGAAGCCCATTTCCAAAATTAGATCGTTGAGATCATTAGATCATTAGGAAACTATGCCACAGCACG